CTCTCTCTCTCTCTCTCTCTCTCTCTCTCTCTCTCTCTCTCTCTCTCCTCTTACTTCCTTAGCTTGTGGAAGGAGTAGATCAACTCCTGACTGATTACCAGGTCAAAGATGGCCATGTTATTCTGCAGCTGAATTCGGTAAGCTCCGCCTCCCGCCTCCCATCATATCCCTACAGCCTGAGCCATTGTGAATACCTCTTCCCCCACAACTCCCTTACAACCTTGAATTTGTCCAACAGATTCCCTCCAGAGATTTCCTTTGTGTCCGATTCCGGATATTTGAACTTTTCCAAGTTGGGTTTCTGAACCCTGCTACCTTCACGGTGTATGAATATCACAGACCAGGTAAGCAGCGCTGCTCAGCCCTGCAGTTTCCTCTGACTCTGTTTCCAAGGGAGGCCTGCACATTCACAGACGGCTTCTTAGAGCCTGCTTCAGAAAGTCCAACCTGAACACTCATTTTTAATAGTGCATTCAAACTACTTTGTGATCAAGTCGATCGGTTCATGTCTCGATCCTTAGCTTCTTCCTTTTTAAAATAATTGGACTATACTACCCTCAACAGTAAAATGTTTTGCCTCAAGTTCCTTTGTGGCAGTCACTGCCCATGTCCCTTGAATCCTTGCTCTCTAAAGGAGCCCAGTTGCTGTTCCAACTTCTTCACCCTCTCAGAACAACTGCCACCCTTTCTGTATTCTTCTCACAGCTGGCCCACAGATCAACAGTTGCCACCCGCACTGAAATTGTTTTTCTACCGTTCCCACCAGCCCACACATGCTCATCCTCGTGCCCTGGTCTGTGGCAGAGCATCCGACACATGTGAACTTAGCTCAGCTCCTTCTGAGAAAGGTGATGTCATCACACACCTTTTCATCCACTTCGGCAGTTGTGTTCGTTAGAAAACCCTTACGTGGAACAAACACCGACCTTGGCTTTATCTTCTGAGATCACATAGAACATATCTAGTCCCTCTTCTCATATATATGCATATATGTGTATGTGTGTGTCTCGTGTGTAAGTGTGCACGTGTGCGCTCCTCTAGCCTAAGTAGTTGTAATCCCTTCGAAAGATCCTGAAGTAATATAATTTACTTTTCTCTCATTCTTGGGAGCATGTTTGTTCTAAGAAATGAGTATTGAGCAGTAAAATTCCAAGCACACAGCCAAAATAACCAAGTGGAGGTAGGAGGGTTCTATGGGGACAGGGACCCTTCCAGGACAGCCAGTTGCCACAGACAGTCTCTGAAGCCCCTTGTAGGAGACTCAGTATCAGCCCAGCCGCTTCTTGTGACCATCTCTCCGTTTCCACAGACAAGCAGTGCACCATGTTCTATAGCACCTCTGACAGCAGACTCCAGAGAGTTTGTGAAGGAACAGCATGCCGATGTGTGGAAGGTGATGTATCATAGGCTGCCTGTCCCTGTCTGAAGGGACGCTTGGAACGCTGTTTAGCCAAACCATAGTTTCTTATCTTAGCTGACTGAAAAGTAATGATTCCCTAGGCCCCTTCCTTACAGCTCCCAAACACCCTGGTGGGACCCTGGTAGGACCCTGGTGGAACCCTGGTGGAACCCTGGTGGGACATGGTGGGATCTGGTGGGACCTGGTGGGACCCTG